TGTCCCTCAGGGCTGTTTTTAGATGCAACCTATCAGACAATATGTCTTTGTTTAAAATAAGTCCAAAATAGATTATGGTAATACATGCTCACTTTAAATATGTTTTTGCTTTTCTGTTTCCTGTTCATTGTTTTTACTATAAACAGTGAAAAGCCAGTTAGCCAGTGTATGAATTCCCATTGGTACTCTAATGTATGTATGTATGTATGTATGTATGTATAAGTACAGTACTACAGTACAGGTAAAGTATAATTATAACAATCTTAACAATTTGCTTTACAAGATGAAATAGGCTATGAGTGTGTTACAAGCTCTGATATTTCAAGGAACTAAACTCAGTGCGTGGTTTGTAAAAGTGTGTTTTCAGGAACAATGGCCCACAATAATTAGGTTGCAGTGTGTGAGAGTCTAAAAGTCTTTCTAAGCAGACAAAAGTCCAGAGGACTGAATTCCCCTTTAGAGGGAAATCATTTTTATTTTCTCTATTTTTGTCTTGGAAATATCTCTGATCCAAGAGACATTGCATTTTTAACATAATTTCAGAGCCCATGTATAAGCTATTTAGATACAAGGAGATTCCAAATGAGTTGTGATTAACAATGATTATATGCTGTTATGCTGCTGTATGTAGGTGTATATGTAGTTACAGCAGAAATCAATGTATTTACTATATTTATCCGTACAAGTTAGAGTACTGGCTGTGACACACTTTTCTAATTTGTTTTACTCATTTTTTTTGCTTGCATTTTCTTGCTGTGCTGTTTGCAAAGCAGTTTTGTTCTTTACTAAAAACCTCTGCTTCTTTTGAATTGAACTGATGCTCTTATCTACTCATAAACCGCTCTACAATCAATAACTTCCACAGTTCCGGTGATGCTCGCTCCGCCCACCCAGGTGAGGTTTGACTCTGTGGACTATAAAAACATCCTGCGCTGGACTCCAACCACCAACAGCACCTCCCTGCAGTACTACGTCCAGTGGAAGATGTGAGACTTTACACACACACACACACACAATCACACACTGCAGGCATACAGTCGATGTGTAATTTGATCTGTTCATTCACAGTGTTAATTTACTAACTAACTGTTTACAGTGGTTAATTATCCAACCCTGCTTATTTAAATGAAACCAGAAAGTGTCAGATTTGAGATGGTAACACTTTTCATGCATCTGCCATGTTGCAAAAAAAAATATATTTTACATTTTTTAAGTCTATTGTTGAATCCTAATCCTAACAGTAGAAAAAAAAATAGTGGGGTGATATCACTTCAATTTAAGGAATAATCTCACCCCAGTGAAGGAAAAGTCTATCCTAAGAGGGAGCTACTTGTTACTTGTTTATACAAAACTCACTTGCCACTGGATGTCGCACTCGAGCACCAGCATCTCGGACCAAATCCATGTGACAGAAATAAAATAAAACTCACCAAAACCAAATCTTTGTTAGTCTTTCCGCAGTACTTCCAACAATCACAAACACCAGTTTTTCCCAATGACATGCTCAGGAAGGATCCCTACAGAGACAGACTTTTAACCAGAAATATCACAATTCTATTACCATTGTAGGTGATCCACTGCTCAAGCACTGTACTTAAGTACTATTTTGAGGTACTTGTACTTTACTTATGTATTATTAACTGTAGGTACTTTGTAAATTCAGATTAATAATAAAAAATAATCAACAAATAAATGATCATGTATTATTGTAGGATGAGATGGAGCTTTATTGATCCAGATCAACCGTAAAGCGAAGCTTACACAGGTATCAATAACTACTACTAACAGTATCAGACGTGTGACTATAATCCACGTTGCCCAGAGGGAAATAAACCCGCTGATTTCTGGATTTAACATCCCTCCTCTCTGTGTCTACTCCTCAGTTACGGCGAGCCTGAGTGGTTGGACGTTGACGGTTGTCAGGGGACCCAGAAGCACCAGTGTGACCTCAGCGGCGTGACCTCTGACCCCAGAGAGTGGTACTACGCCAGACTGCACGCTTCCTCTCCACCCTCCAGCAAATCAGCCTGGGCCCTCTCACCGAGATTCAGCCCACGCTGGGACAGTGAGTGTTGACATGCTTCCTCCTCCTCCTCCTCCTCCTCTTCATCGTCTGCACTCTCTCTTCTTTGCCTACTTGCTTCCCCAAACGGATGCAGCGAAACACGGAAGAATACCTGAAACAGACAGTGATAAAAGCTAGTTCTCCATTTAGAACTAGCAGGAACATTTTAAGTATTTGACTCAAGAGGTTTAGAGCAGCTTAATAAATCAACATCCTTAAAAATAAAATAAAATAAAATAAACACTTTCTCTTTCATATGTTCAACTTTGTGCTTCGTCATTTTACAAAAACTAAACAGATCCTTATATCTGCAGCCAAGATCAGCGCTCCTTTACTGAGGCTGAACGCCACAGAGCAAGGGATTGTGGTCCGTGTGAAGCCCCCCAAACCGCTGGTCCGGAAGATGCACAGCAGTCTGCTCTACAAGATCTACCTCACACACACGAGTGGAGAGGAGGTACACACACACACAATCTTTCGTATTTTCTTCTTTTTTGTACTATTACTCTAAATATTATTCTTTATTGCACATTAACCTCAAGAATATGGCGCCCTGCATTTCACTGCACGTGTTCACGCACATACTGTATGAACATAAAAACACAACAGATACAACCTGCTATAATCTTCTTATCTTTGAATATTGTATCTTTTAATTAGATGGAAAATAATGTTCAATTGGTGCAATTCAATTCATTCCAGATAATTGTTAGTGTAACCTGGAGGCTCTTATGGTTAGATAGATAAAAATGTCAAATTTGTCTACAGGCAAGCATACAATTAATGAAGAATATAGTTTCCTGTAATATCTCATCACGTGACTCCACTGTGACGTCTTCAAATGTCTCAAAAAAGATCCAGTTTATGATATCAAACAGAAAAAAAGCAACAAATGGTGTTTTTTCTTGATCAATAATCCAATTTTCGGTTGATTGACTGATCAATTAAGAATCTTCGGCGGCAGCAGTATTTTCCCTGGGACTAACAAAGTGGAACGTGTACATTAAAAACAATTTTCATTGAAAATGCCACTGCCGCTATCTACGTAACAAAAGAGGAAGAAGAAGAGGAAGAGCAGAAGAACAACAAAAACAGAAGGACAACGCAAAGATATAATAATAACTATTTCATTTGACCTTTAAGGGCTGAAATTTGCTGTCAGGTGACACGGTAAGTGGAGGCATCACTGACAATCTATCTTCTTCTCTTCAGGAGGTGCTGGAGCTCGGCTGCTGCACGCACAAGCTGACTCTGAAAAAGCTGAACAGCAAGGCCAAATACTGCCTCCAAGCCCAGACCATGATCCCCCAGCAGGCCAAGAGTAGCGCTCGTAGCTCTTTGAAATGTATCACTACGCTCTGAGCACACAGGTACCAAGATACGCACTCATACGCACACATATCTGCGCTTGGTAGTGTCCAGGTCTCCTATTAAACCTCGCCACAGAAATTCATCTTTCTCATTGTCTCCAGAAATAGTTTTGCTATGCAGGATAACAAACCCCTCCAGCCGGCTCAGTGCTGGAAGCGTCAATGTGTCCAAACTGAGAGATCCACGCAGTACATCACTTTATACAGAGCATACAGAGCTTGCTAAATAAAGAGATATACTGCATGGATCTAAGTGTGCGGATATTACAGTAAGTTTAGTAAGACCAGTACAGTGCAGATTGACTCTGACTGACTGAATGAATCCTGCTGTAGTAAAAAAAAAAGAAGAAAAAGCCACTTTATCCGTGAGAATGTGTTACAAGTGTCTGCTTTGTGTGATTGTGTCTGTGCTGCACACAGACCAGCTGGACAGTATCGCTAGTGAGTGAAAGGTTGCAACAAAAGACTACCAAATGAAAAGTCAAGTATCAGCTGTCGCACAACAATCGCTCGAGGCAGTGAGACAGAAAGAGGGAGGGAAAATGAAACTCCTGGAGGAGAAATCCTAACAGAGGGAGTTTCTCCACAATGACTATAATTACCTCTCCTCACCCCACCCTTTTCACTATTTTTAGATCTGCGACGGATGTGCAGAGCAGTGATAACGTAGCTCCAGACGTTTATTTTCTGTGTGGTTCATTCATCTTTTCTCTCCCTCTTCTCCATTTGCTGTAGACAGACACTACCTACACGATACACTGAATGACTGGACTCCATCCGTCAGTTCAGCTTGAATTATCCATCGCTACCTCGACGGCTGCAGCCCTAGATATCCGTGCCAGTATAAGGGATGCACTTTATTATTCAAAGCATTAAGGATGGGAATCTTAACTCAAAGTCCACTTAACCAGCTTTCTCTGCCGATGAAGACTGTAAAAAGTAGTTCAAAGCTCTGGAGGAAGCTAGTGAGTGGGCCCTGAGTTCAGATTGTGATCTTTTTTATTTTGTTGCTTTCACATTAGACACACTACAAGCACAGTGAAGTAGAGACGTTAATATGAATCTATTCTTCCCACTGACTTCACTAACCAGAAGTTACACATACTGAAAAAATTATATCTAATATCAACTTGAGCTTTCTCTGAGGCTATTTCAGCTTTTCTTTTATTTTTGTCTTAACATTTGTTTGTTTACTGTGAAATGAGAAGAGAAGAGTTTTATTGAGTGGATTCAGAGGTGATTAACACACTGTGCCGCACCGTCTGGTGATTTAGGCTAATGGGACTTTAGGTTAGTGTCATTGTTTCCAAAAATTATTCACAATTTAATTTATTATCAAGATTAAAGTAACAATCTGTGGAATGGGAATGGCTTAGAGATAATCATAACTACAGTTTATTGGCTATATTGATATCAATTATGCTACAATTGGATTTGAATTAGTCAGAACTCATTATTCAATCTTACAGATTGTGTCAAACTTTTCAAGTATGCAGCTTTTGTTTTACATACGCATAATGTAGTTTGCATAACACACTTCATTTCCTGCAAAGCCACACTGGTTTCTCTCTGATCCACCTGTGAAGATCAATGAATGTCATTTTAACTTTTAACAGAGAGCTTTCTTAAAAGCGAAAAAGTTTCAGATGCACAACTTTGTGAATGGATTGTGGAAGACGTATTTGTCATATTACAAATAAAAGACTGTTTACAGTGGTTAATTCTGCCTCATGGGTTTACTTTCTTTAGTTGGTTGAAACTTAAAATATAAAAGATAACGCTGGTGTTATTCAATATTGTTCTTATCCTCAACCAAGCCCATGAAAGGATGAAAATCAACAATGTGATTGTACTGCCTCTGTTTCTGACTTCCCTCCCATTTATGTGGCACTCAGCCCAATGGTTCCTCCTGAAGACTCAATGTAGCCACGAGTGTGTAGTTTCGTTTTCAAAAAAAGGGCTCAGTAATTTCCTAAACAGTGGCAATAGTGCGGGTTGTTAATGTGTTTTTGGACAATAATAAGAGATATTCTCTTTGAATTTGTCAAAAAAAAAAAAGCTACTATACATATAATGTTTTGGGCTTTCTTTTGCCTTTAATCGACGGTGACAGCTGAAGAGTGACTGGAAAGGGGGGAGAAAGAGAGGGGACGACAAACAGCAAAGGGCCACAGGTCGGCGTCAAACCCATGGGTGCTGCAGCAAGGACTCAGCCTTATTACACGTGGCGCCAGTCGTACCAGATATGTAATATATGATGTATCAGTAACTGTAATTATATTGTGCTCATAATACTTGTTCATTTTCAGTAACTTTTCTTCACACCAGTGATCTGAAAACGTCTTCCACCGCTGCTTAGAATTGAAGAGAAAACATGAATTATGAAAATAATTGTGGTAATTCAGCCTCAAAAGAAAAAAACAAAAAGGCAACTTTAGTCTTGATTTCGACTTTATTCAAAATATTGATAAACTTGATCAATCAGGCATGAAATAACCAATACTGTAATGATAACAAAAACCTTTCACTGAAACAGATGTACGCAAAAAGCTAAATCTGACACATTCGGCGTGGCAGAAACGTTCAGTGATTTAAAGGAAGTGTTGCACTTAACAGGAACTCTTGTTATTTGATCGGAAAGGTGATGGGTCTTTCAGCAACAGCGCCACACCGCGCCTCTGAGGTTTGTTTGTGAAGTTTTTCGTACCGAGTAGTTTTCTTTGCAAGAACTCCTCACTAGCAGCTAGTTCATTTAGTGGTTTTGGTCCTGAAGACAGAGGCCATAGTGCTGGTAGAGTTGAATTTGGTCCCATAGCCAGAAGCCTGAATGCACCATACTGATAACTCGTATCATTATCCTCGCTGCAGTTTGTCAAAATGAGAGGAATGTTACTTTATAACCTTAATACACAAAATCCTTTTCGTTAACCACCAGCCAACAAGGTTTTGTGACTTTGACGACAAACTGCAGACTTTCGAACTGAAATACAAAATTTTGAGGGGAATATACAGTACCAGTGCATTGTGGTATTTACAGAATACCCTTAATTCATAAAAAAAAAAGGGTAAATCCAGTGATATCTTGTAAACTGCCCCTTCAACAGCCAGATGATTAGTAAGGCCTTTACAGTGTTGGTTTGACAGTCAGTGGTCATGAAATACAAGAACAAGGGATACTTCACATTCTAAGTCATCATATGATGCCACAGTGATACACACATCAGGAATCACAATTATATTTACACCATTTGGGAATTCATATCTTGCTGTAAGTGAGCCCTTGTTTCGTCCTTCCGAAGCAGGACACACTCTCTAATGAACTCTTAAAAAACAGGCAAAGTTGGGGGAATCTAAAAATCAGTCAATAATTAGAGAATGGATATTAAGTTAATCTGTAGCGTGTTTACAGAAAGGGCCCGGGAGTGACCATGGAAGCGGGTATAGTATATATCCTGCATAGTCAGACCTCCAAACTGTCACGTTCACAGAAGTCCAGAGAGAAAAAAAACCTGTTGAACAAATCAGGATAATGAACCCCTTTGTTAATCCTGAGGAAGCCATTCAACTGGCTGTAAGTTTACAGTATGAATGAAAAGTAAACAGTGTCTTCACTCTCTCCGCCTGTCCTCAAATGTCTCCAGAAATTTGGCTACATATTAACGGTTTGCTTAATGTTACAAAAAAAGTAGAAATAGAAAAAATAAAAATAAATACAAAAAAATGCCTAAAATAAACGTCAAACCAATTAAACATACCAGTGGGATTAGCTATATCAAACTAATAATGGCTATTAGAGTGAAATCAGTTATCAAGTCCAATTTGTTTGCATAAATTACAAAAACGGACACATGATAATAAAAATGAGGACATGAATGAGACATAATTAGAAACTTTAGTAGTTGAAGGGGTTTGTCTGCGTTACAGTACAGGTTTTGCCATTTGGTGCACTCAATGTTCTCAACAGCATCTTAAAATAAAAGTTCTCCTGTGTGGCCACTCCCGGGCAGTGCAGATATGCCTCTGCGATTTAAATCTGACATGATGCCGTGTCATTACGGTTCCAACCAATCAGCTGTCATGGGGGAGGGGGGGGGGGTATTGGACTTAGTAAATTCATTCATTTGGGCCAGGTTGTCCTCGTCAGGAACAGTGGCTGAATTGTTCCCTCACTCTGCTGCAGTGTGGAGTACAGAAATGATATGAACCAAAAATATTTGCTATAAAATACTCTTAGGAAAAAATTCCATATTAGCCAACATTAAGACCACAACGGCCATTTAAAATTTGAACCAACTTTTAAGATTCCCATGTTGTTGCTTGTAGTGTTTTTACTACCTGCCGTCTCTAAAAACTCATCAGGGCATTGCTGGGAGGAAACTGATACCTGGGCATCCCTGCTACGATCCAGGCATGTAACTGCTCCCTACGAACACAAATGTACTGCACGTCGCGACTTTTAAAAACAGCCCATAAAACAGCGCATATATGCAATACAAACACAACTTCAGCATTAGCCTGATAATGGATAAAAGACAATTATTTACCAAACAAGGCAATTTTTTTTTTTGGTTCACATTTAAGGGTAGCATGCATGGCATGATGATTCTCAAGTCAAAGAAATAATCTAAAAGCGGGTGATCGCATCAACTTGAAAACTGAACATGGAATGTATGTCCGGGTCCTTCCCCCATGCTGGTTGCTAAGGTAAGGTCAAGTCTTCATTCATATTACAATTACCTATAAAAACATCACCGGGGTCATATATAAATAAAAAGCGTGAGGGTATTGTGTTGCGAAAGCTGCAGCAGCGGTCAAACGTTGTGAGCGGTGCAGCCGACAGGATGAGAAAGGGAAGAGGGGCTAAACAAAGGGAGAGAAGATGGAGCGAAACAAGAAGGTGGCAGTTGAGCACCGAGGGCTGAGAGGAAGAGCTGCTCATCCCGCTCTGGAGATGTTTCTGCTCAGGTTTCATGAACCTATGTCTATGTCTGTGTCTTGGTGCTGTGCTGTGTGTGTGTGTGTGTGTGTGGGTGTGTGTCTTCTAGAAGAGACAACGGCAGTGGTGTAAGAAGGACCGTTGCTCAAACTGAGTTGATGAGGGTGCAGCATTCTAGAACTCCAGCGGACACAGATGTGGTTCTAGGGAAGTCCTCAACTTGGTTAACGTTCTAGAACACTGGACATCACTATGTCCTAGAACTAAGACAAGCTGTCTATGTTATAGAACTTTTTTATAAACAAAACAAGCAGCCTGGGGTTCTAAACCCTCCATGGAGTTTTGAGGCCAAAATATGTCCTGTATGTTCTGGAACACTCTACATTGGCATCAGAGGACACTATGACACAGCAGATCACTTTTCAAGACAGGAACTCTTTCTCCAGTCAAAGCACGGGCCCAGGGCCGCGCCGCGGGAACTTCTGAGATGCGGGCAGAGCAGGCACAGTTGCAGTCTTCTTCTTGCCCCTCTGTTGTCCATGTCCAGCAGGGAGCAGGCCCACCCCCACATCCTGGGGACAGCACCCACGTTCTAGGTTCTGAGCCGTGCGTTCGTCTCCAGAGTAGGCGCCAAGGGAGACTCTGTTTGCTTCCATACGCAAGCAAGAGCACAACAGCGTAGGAAATGAATGCTTAGGCCGGACACAGACAACAGGCCAGGCACGGTACTGAGAAGGGGCGTCCCAGATCCCGCAGAAGGGCTAATCTCAACGCAATATGTCCTTCTAACAGGTTATTCGTTGCTATACTATCTGATAAGTGGCTGGAGGAGGAAAGAAGTGGAGTATACACATACATTACATGAGTCAGTCTCAGTTATTTTCAATGCAAAAGTAAAGACTGGATAAATTGCAAGATAACAAATACAATTAGAATTGAACAAGTATATTATTCAAATATATATTAGTGAATCTTACAAAATATCTAAAAGTCGAAATTCAAGACTTAAAGTTCTTATATTTAAGTATTTTTTTCTATATTGAGTGAATTACAGAACTATACCACATATATTATAACTAATAATTCATTCCTTTATCAATTCTTAAATAAAGCAAGCACGGGTGGAAAAAGAGACGTGTTTATCAGATCACTGGTAGTGTGAAAGAATAAGTATATAAAAAGAACAAGTATTATAGCACTAACTTATAATTATCGTGACTAAGATAATCAAATACATAACTATAATTACAATAATCTGAGTACGACTAGCTCACAATATCAGTTGTAATTAAAGCAGAGTCCTATAATCTGCAGCAATCCATGTTGTTTGACGCGATCCTAGACTGGCCCTTTAGTCTGTTTGCGAAATAAACCTACTCTTTATCATCCACCTCTGTATATCACTTTCCAAGTCTAAACTCCTTCAGGACGTCACCGAGTCGAAAAAGGCAAAAAGAAAGCCCAAATAACATATAAATATATATATAAGTAGCTTTATTTTTATTTGTATACAATTCAAACAGAAAATTTATCTATTAATATTACGATCAAAACACAATTTATAACATACCCCAGCATACAAATTGCCACTGTTTAGGGAATAAATTCACAGCCCTATCTTTTTGAAAACCGAAACTACACATACGTGGCTCAATTACATGATACATTCAAGAGGAAACCATTGTACTGAGTTGACATCATAATAAAATGGAGAGAAGTCAAATACAGAAACTGCATACAATATCACATTGTAATTATTATCACTACATAGGGCTAAGTAGTTAGAGGAATAAGAGTATCAATATTCTTGAATACCACCAGCGTATCTTTCCATTTGCCCCCTCACCCTAAATTTACAACAACAGACATCATAACTAAAAGAATAATCCTCCTTTTT